CCTCGCCCCGCCCCCGGACCGCCCCCGCAACTCGAGCCAGGGGGAGGGGGCGCGGGCTTTGGGGCCCCGGGGCCCCGGGGGGCGGCGGCGTGGGGGGGCCGTGGGGTGCGCGGGGGCGAGATTGGAGTGGGGGCAGGGAGCAGCAGAATGTGCGAGAAATCCCAAATCGCCGTTCTAAAGTGTTTGGGGGCACCATCGCTGGTTCCGGGGTGCCAGGGAATCCCTGCACTCGTGCAAAGGGGACGCAGGGGAGAGCGGGGTGGTGTCCCAGACCCCAGTGGTGGCAGGGGGTCCTCGCTTCCCGCCAGGAAGCTACGCGACGGGAGTAAGGGTTAGGGCGCAGGTGTCTTGGCGTGGGTCGCGAGGGGGGGGGTCCCCTAGTTCCACTGTGGACTGCAGGGGAGGGGGGAATCCCCGGGCGCGCGCGGGACCCGCAGCCGACACCTGCCCGAGCAGGCGCAGCAAGCACCTCGTGCCGCAGCGCCTCGTGCCGCAGCCAGATCCCGAGCGCCCCCCGGTGCCGCGCGGGAACCGGGGAGTCGCTGCGGCGGCCGCCAGGTGCGGCCCGTGGGGAGAGCCGGCCGCGCCAGGCGTGGGGCCTCGCCGAGGCTGCGCCTGCCCGGGGAGAGAGGCGCAGGGCGGGAAGCGTCGCTCGAGTCCTACCTGCGTGACCGAGCTCATCGGGGTGCGTCTAAGCAGCTCGCCTTTGGGGCCCACCCAAAATATCCGGATAATGGTTTCCCCGTCCTCAGTGCGTTGGACTTGCGTAGACTCGGGTTCAGCCCCGGGGGCCACCACGATAATTTGGGGGTCTGGGGAAACCATCTGGAGAGTTTGGACGATGTAAGAAGTCGTGACTCTCACTAACTCAAAACCACGCACTAGGTCCCCCGCGCCCCGCCCGTCCCCCGGAACCCCGGCCACCCGCGCCTCTTCCAGGGGAAGGGGCCGCCGCCGGCGGAAGCCCGCGCCGGGCTCGCCCCCTCGCTCCGCCATCAATCACCTCGCCCGCGCTCCGCGCGCACCTCCCCGAGTCCTCTGCCCAGCCGGCTGGAGGCGCCGCGCCGCGCGAGCAGGGTGCGCCTCTCCTCGGCGTCCCTCGGACCCAGCGCCCTGCCCGCCTGGCTTCGGGGCCGCCAAGGCGCTTTTCCCACCATTACAATCTTTGCAAAGAGCAAACGAAAGCGGCGCCGGTTTCGGGGCGCCCGGCCCCTGCGATCGCGGCCGCCCAGCAGCAAGCCGGTAGCGGGCTCCCGCGCCCCGCGCCGGTTTCCCCGGCGGCCGCCCGAGGCGAGCGCCGGCCCCGGCGAGACGGAGGTGGGTGCGGACCGGGAGCCCGGCCGGGGCGCGGAGGCAGCGGGGAGCTCACCGCGAGGTTGGATGAGGTGTCCGCGGGCGTGCTAGGAGCCGAAAACAGGAGCGAGCTCTCTGCGGCAGGCTGTGGACGCAGCTGAAGGTGAGCGAGACCCCGGGGGCAGTCCCCAATGTCCGGGGGCAACGCCCAGCCCGTTGGAAGACCCGGGGACAATGCCCAAATTTGGGGGAAACTGGGGGCAATGCCCAGTCGTTTTCCTGGACGCGGGAGAAGCATATCCTCCAGGATCTGAGATGTGTTTGGGGACACAGAAATTTCTCAGATCCGAGGGGCTCCGGGACTTCGTAGGAGCCACGGAGACCAGAGACCAGCGCGCGGGACTCGGGGGCTGCAGAGGGCGGCCGGGAGCAACGCCCAGAGATCGGGGACACGAGTCAGAGCTCTGTTTGATTTGCAGGCGAGGAGAATGAGTGTCTCCAAGTAGGGGATCCAGGAGAAGCCCCATGATGTGGGGATTGTGATTAACGACTAAATTCGAAACTCCAGAAAAACAGAGCCCAAGTTTGGGGGATCAGGGGAAATTGCTCAATGCAATTGGGGGACGAGGAATCTCAGCCTAAAATGTGGGAAACCCAGCATCTTGGTCAGCGTGTTTGGGGGAGTCCCAGACCGATTTGTGGGGAGGTAGGTTTTTGGGTGACTAAAGAAAAATTATCTACATGAAACTTGGGGGGACCCAAGAGGCACATTGTCTAAAATTGAAGGAAGAAAACAATGGACACATTTGGGGGATCTAGGCAAAATCTCCACGTGGTGGAGTAAAGTGGGGATTAATTTCCACACTTTAGAAATGAGAGTTCATGGCCTGGACGCTTGCAACGCTTAAGGGAAGCCACTTTCATAATTGTTGTGGCTTCGGGGGAAATTCTGAATGTCCTTTAGAGACTCAAGAAACAGGGTCTAAATTGGGGGGACCGAGAAAGGGGGGGAGGACCTGGCATGTTATTAGTACATTTAGGGAATGCAGAAAACCAATGACCTTTATATTCAATTTTTTAATTGATTACTATAGGTTTCTTTTTGGTGAACAGGAAGAAATATCCTGTGTTCCTGGGCACTGTCTGCATTTGGGGAACCCTAGTAAAATGTGGCCCAAGTTTTGGGGAACTCTGGAAATAACCCAGTAGGGATTGACAGCTAAATTTCAGGGCCCCTGGTGTACAGCGAGAAAGCTTGTAGGACACAGGCCTGTACTGCCTGGGATTTCTAGGATCTGGGGATATTTTTCAGTTCTTGGCCGTTTTCATTTGGGGGGGCATGGAAAACTGCCTAAATTTAGGGGGACTTGTGGCAAGGGTCATAAACTCAGGGGACCCATAAATCAATGTTCAAAAATAAAAAAGCTCAATTGTTTTGTGGAGGAAAAAAATAAACCTTAATTTATTTTGGAGGGCTGGGAGACAGTACCTCAATTTTGAGGCCCCAGGAAAATAATTTTTGAATCTGCCGATCCAGGGAAGTTGCTCAGAGTCCTCAGGAGAATCGGGGGTCAATATCTAACTTTTAGGGGAAAAGGATTATGAGTTCGTAAGTCGTGGGGGCCTAGAGAATCAGTGTCCAAAATGGGTGATCTACAGGGAGTTAGTGTGTGAGGGACCCAGAAAATGTTGCGTAAATTTGGGGTGACTCAGTAGGTGCATGGGGTGCTTTGGAACTTAAGAAATCAGTGCCTTTCTGTGACCCAACTGTAACACTAAATGTGTTTGGGGGGCCCTGGAGGGTGATGCCTAATATTTGAGAGAACCCAGCAAGTCCAAATATCGGGGATCAGGAAAAGGGTCTGGTGATGTCCCAGGATTTGGGATCAGCGTCCACATTTTAGAAAACCCGGGTTCTTGTTAGTAAGCTCAGGGGACCCAGAGGATTTTTTAATATTTAAAATGTTATGGCGCAGAGAAAACGTCTAGAACATTTGCTTACTGGGGACACTCCACAGAGCCCAAAGTAACAAGCACAGGCTCTGTGCAAGGGTTTGTTTTGTGCGCAGCATGGCTTAGGAGACCTCCAACACCATGTGAGAATCGGGGGACCTGCGTAATCCACGGTGACAATTGAGTGTCTCGGGTAACTGCTCGGTGCACTTTTGGGGCCTGGGTGACAGACAGTGTCTAAATGTGAAGGAAGGCCAGAAGCTTGGTGAGTTACCGAAATGAACGCCCCAAATTTTCATGGCCCACAGGAAAAAAAAAAGCTCAATGAGTTTTGGGGATCAGAAATCACCCTCTGAATTTCGTTGCACTCAGATGCAATTCAGAAGAGGCCTTGGTGTGCTTATCCGTGCCTAAATCTTGGCGGACGCATAGGAAGCCTCCACCAAGGGGTTCTGAGGGTTTTAGGAAATTTGCTTAGTGTGTTGGGGGGACCTGGGATTCTTTGTGTAAAATTTAGGGAACGCAGGTTTGGGCCAATGGTTTTGTGGAACTCAGTGGATAATGTCCCCTGTGGGGAGCCAGGGAAACAGGGCCTCAGTGTGGGGGTGTCAGAACAGGGACAGGAGCTTGGGAGGCCCTGTGGTTAACGTCCAGAATTGTGGGGACACAAGAAGACCCCACTGAATGTTTGGGGACGGATGCCTGAGCGCCAGAAAAACATTCTGGGGAGCCAAGCAAATTGGTCAGCATGACCACAGGACGGGGTTAATGTTCAAATTGTAGGGGATATGGACCAGTGCTGTGTTGATCTGTAGGACCTGGAGGGGGTGTGTAAAACTGTTAAGAGCCTGGGAGGAAACGCCCAGCGAGTTCGGGGACCCAAGGCCACTAGTGTAAATCTGGGGAAGCCAGTGGGGGCTTGATTTGTTTTGAGGTCCCCAGAAATTAAAGTCCAGGAAAATTCTTGGAACCCAGGAAAATGCTGAATGTGTTCTGGGGACCTGGGAGCAAGTCTGTAACTTGAAGGATCCCAGAAAGGGGGTGTGTGTGGGGGAAATCGTGTCCTCCTTTTGTCGGGGAGCGGGGACATTGCTGGGTGGGTTGGGACCACGGAGATGGGTCTGCATTCGAGAGGCCAGGCTCCCGGGGGCCAGGGAAGCCGCGCGTCGCTAGGGATCCACCGCGTCTGAGACGCGCGGAGCAGGGGCGCCCTCCCCGGGACGCGAGCGCGGGCGGCGCGGGCTGGGAGCGCGGGGCTCCCCGGGCGCGCGCCCAGGGCAATATCGCCCCTCTTTCTTTTGCCTTCTCAGCACCCAGAGCGCTTCTGCGGTGGAGGCTCAGGGGCGTCGGGGTGGAGGGAGGAACCCGAGAGCCTTGAGGCAGCGGCAGGGGCGCTGCTCCCCGGGCGCCCTGGGGTCCCTGCTCGGCCGCCTCCGAGGAGGCCCGCGGGCTTCCCGCTGCCGCCGCGCCCCACGCGCTCCCGCGCTGCGAGCCTAGGCGAAGCCGCGGCCCGGCTGCCGCCGCGGGCAGGCTCGTCCCCGGCTCGGCTTGGGGACCCGGGAGCACCCCCGGCGGCCACCCCAGCCGCCCCCGCGCTCCGCGAGCGCAGCCTGGGCCTTGCCCAGTCTCCAAACTACAGCGAAACCAATTTTGTTTGGGTAATGCGAAAGAGAGAAGGGAATGGGAAAGACGAGGAGAAGATGGGGGGCAGGACTGCACAGCGGTGGCTGGGGTGCCAGGGGTCTCCTTTCGTTTTCTGAGGATTTTCAGGAAAGGCCTCCCTAGCCTGGCTGGGAAAGTCTATTTCCATAAATCCAAATGCTGAACACAAGTAGACCCGAGGAGCCGCTGGTGGGAACAGGGTCACCACCTCAGAGCCGGGCAGCGTTGGGGATGTGGGGCAGTGATCCCAGGGGGACCTGGGGTGGGGGGAGCTGCCAGAGAGGAGGCGTTGCTGGGGATGGGGGTGTGCAGCAAGATGGTGGAGGTCCTGGGGCCAGTACAGTGGGCATCTCAGGCACCGCTTGTCCCCACTGTCACCCCTGCTCAGAGAGGGCCAGCTCAGAGCCTGACACTCTGGGAAGGTGGGGGTTAATGCCATTGGACAGGTGTGGGGACTCGGGCTGGGCAGAGGCAGCCCTTTCGCTTTAGCTTGGCAAGACAAGGCGACCACCCCCGCCCCCACGAAAAGCAGCCCGTTTTCCACCCAGAGCCCAAGGCACGTGGGGAATGTTCCCCTTCAAATTCCAGTCCACATCAATCACCCCCGTGTCCCATTCCAAGAACATCTGGCCTGTCCCCCCACCACTGCCCCTCCTCCTCTCACCAGGCCCGGCGTTGGGGCCTCGCGGTGTGCCTATAGGACACAGGGAGAGGAGGGAGCCTTCGGCAGAGACGCCTGGCTGTGTACAAGTTGCTGGCCACTCCATGGCGACTTGTACATTTCTGGGTGGGGAGCATGAAAATCGAGCCTGTCTCAGGACCTGGGTCCCCAGGAGCCCAGAGCAGATTTGAAAGCCTCGAACGAGGCCTCTGCTCACAACAGACAAACGAGGGGCTCCCTTTGGCCCTGCCCTGAGCCCTCCACCTTTCTTCCAGGCCCCCTTCCCAGGCCAGGGGTGGGTGGGACACCGGGTTGAGCGACTTGCTTCAGCCTGTGGGCTTTCCCGCTCCTCAGGGGTGTGGGGGGACAGTCACGCCAGTGGCCCATTTGGGGGCCCCTCCCCTGCTTTCTGTCCCAAACAGGCGCCTGCCCCGGAGAAGCTTCTGCCTGGTGCTTGGAGATGGATCCTGGACCTTGGAGGTAGGAAGGCTGAGGCCACCTTGGGATGTCAGGCTGAGCCGTCAGGGCAGGCGGGGCGGTGCAGGGGACACACACGTTCTTCCTCCCTTGCGGGGCTACCCAAGAACCCTTGCCTTATTTAGTCAAAAGTATGGCTGAAGGGGCAGGCTTGCCCTGAGCAGATCCGGGTCATCCTAGGGCTCAAAAAGGGCACTGGCCACCCCCAGCCAGGACCAGCAGCCCCGGACTCCCCAACTTCCGGCCCCCCACGGCAGGAAGGGACCTGCCAGCAACCTGAGTATGTTGGGAGCTGAGGTCTCCTCCTGTGTAGAGCTTGGTCTCCCCGCACTCCAGCCCCCAGGGCCACCGTCCGCATTCCCTGCCCCCAATCCGCGGCAGTGCCGGCCTCTCCTCTTGACCACAAACCCAGATTCCGAAGAGAATAAGCACCCCACACGACCGACTCACCCCAGCAAGCCTGCCCCCCGGTTCCCTGCTCCACAGCTAGCAGTCGGCCTGGCTCACCCCCTAGTGTCCTCCCCGCTCTGGCCCCCACCTGGCCGCTGGCCTCGCCCTGGGACCCAGCCTAGCACTCACAGACCCTGCTCTGTCTCTGAGGGTCCCTGAGCACCCCTCCCTCACCCCCGCAGGCCACCCGCTGCAGAGGCCTGGACCATGCTGTCTCGGCTCTGGGAGGGACACGTCCCATCCTTTTCAGCCCCAGCCAGAACCGCCTGGACCGGACTGGGACCTGACGGCACAAGCCACCCAAGGCACAGGCACCACCAGCCGCTGGTCAACAAACCAAAGCCAACAGTACGTAGGGGTCGGGATGGGGGCTACAGTCACACATGCAGGAAGGACCCAGGCACGGCCAACACTGCACCGGCCGATTCAGTGTCTGAACTAAAGACACCTTTAGAGGGACGTTTTTTAGCTTCACTCTGAGATGGGCAAACCGCCTGGAAGGGGTCACTGGCCCCCTGTGGCTTTGGAGGCAGGCACACCTGGCTCCCACAGCTCCCCAGGACCCTGCAGCCGAGCCCCACGCCAGTACCTGGTCAGAGCACTCGGTCACCACCCAGCTCGCTCCAGAAGTGTCTGGGGTGGCTCTGGCCCCCAGGCCTTTCTAGTCACCCCCCAATCCCCACTTACACACAGGAAGCCCCGCCAGCCTCCAACACAATGGAATCCTGACAGCACACTTGTAAGGTCCCCCCCCCCCCCGCCGGGGGCCCAGGGTGTCTTTCCTTGTGGTCATTATCTCACTTGCTCTTCCCAATTCTGAGTGTCACCCACCATGACAAATGGGAACACAGAGAGGTCAAGACACTGGTGTGAGGCCCCACAGCCAGCAGCATGGGGCGGGCAGGGAGGGGGTGCCCAGCTGAACCCAGCTTTCCTGGGGTCTCCTGACTCCTCCCTCACTTACAAGCTTCCCTCCCCCTTTTCTTCCTTCCCCCTTCCTCCATGCTGTCCTCACCTTGACCCGGGCCTTCCCCCCTGGGCTGCTCCCTGCCCCTCCTCTGTCTTTCTTCTACCAGGAGAGCTCTGCAGAGGACCTCGCTGCTGTCTGAGACCCCAGGGACAGAGGGGCCTGGAGCAACCGCCTGAATCCTAGACACCACCTATGTGACTCAGAATACACCTCCGTCCTCACCCAGCCTCAGCTCCTTGGAAAACGGGGTGCCGGACTGAAACTGCCTGAGGCTCTGAGCACTGAAGGAGCCAGGCCCTGCGCAGAGCTGCACCCATGGAGAGCTGTGCCCGTGGACGCCTGGGTCCTGCCTGGGGTGCAGACACTCACCTCTGTGGGGCTGGGGTGGGCTGCCGGCCTCAGTTCTGAGTTTGTGGGGACCGCCTGGGCCACAGGCGGCAGCAGCTCACCTCTGGGCTGGGCTCGCGGGCAGTTCTGGCCTCCGTGGGCCCAGACTTTGGCTTGTGCTGGACAGCGGGCTCAGGGGGCTGTGATGCGGGGTCCTGGAGCTGGGGGTTCAAACCCACCTCCTCCTCTGGGAGCTCAGCAGTGACTCTTCTGCCCCTGGGGAAAGTGAAGTTGTTCCAAAGACAGTCTCTTAAAACAAATGCCCGCCAGACCAGAGCCTCCCCTCCCCTGGCTGTTTAGTGGGGGGCCTGTGGGTCACCTTGTCAGGGTTGGGGTGGTGGCTCTCCTGCCTGGCCCTCTGGCTGCCGAGCCCTCCCTTTGTCATGTACAAGGGAAGGGCAAGTGACCCCCAGTTCACCTAGAGCTGGGCTTCCCAGCCACCGGGCCTGAGAAGGTGCCCACGGAGGGGCAGAAGACCCTCTGTCGGATGGGCTGCCCCCTTCTTGGGCATGGGTGTGGGGACTCCCCACACAGCACCTGCCCTGGGAGATCACAGCACACACTAGCAACCCTCCACTCCCCACATTCCCACCTTGGATGGAAGCAAGGAGGGGGCCGGGCACAAAGCAAAGGCCACAGCTCTGCTTGAGAGAAGGCGACCGAGGGCAGAGCGACAGTGGGCTTCCCTGGGGAAATGGACCCCTCCCCACAAACACCATGCTGGGCTGGGCTGGGATAGCGAAGCCTGACACCCCGGGTGGAGGGGAGAGAAACTTCATGCAGAAAACAAGTGCCCCCGAGAGGCTGCCCTGCCCAGCGCTCAGCTCTGTGGGCAGGGGGGGCACGCCGTCCGGAAGGGAGAAGCTTGGCTTTGGAAGTCATGCTGCGGGTACCAAGGGGCACTGCCCCTCCAGCGTCCTCCCTCCTTTCCCGTTGCACGGTGGGACTCGCGTCGGGAGGTGTAGCGGGTAGGGGACAGGGAAGCTTGACTTTTGAAATGGTATAAAAAAAAACAAAAAACCTGCTTCAAAATCTCGGGCCCCTGGGCCCTCTGCACCATGTCTCCTGTTTGTCTTCAGTTGGGGTGGGGGGGACGAGGCGTGTAGCAAAAGGAAATTTATTACACAGAAAAACCGTGCCTTTTACATTTGCAAAGACAGCTGTGCACTCCTGCTGGGAAGGGCAGCCCTGCCCTCCCCCGTTGCCCAGTGGATCAGTGAAGGAAAACCGATTTTCCTTGCAAAGCCTCTGTGGCTCTGTGTAGCCCCACAGAGGAATCCCCTCGCCACCTGTCTTTCCTGTCCCCTCCTAAGCTACTCTGGGGAAGCTCGCTGGGCTGTGGGGCGGCACAAACCCCTTCCTGCAGAAACCCGGGGAGTCCGTTTAGCTGCCCCGAGCCCCTGGCCCATCCACACCTGAACACCCAGGTCAGCACGAGGGAGGGAAGCCCGTCACCTGTGCTCTAGTCGCTGCGTTGTCCCCGAAGCTCCCGGACGATGGATAAAGAGGACCGGGGAGTCACTGGTGCCCACGGCTCTCTGCCCAGACTGCCCGGTGGGTGATCCGCTGGCCGGGCCAATATTAGCAATCGCCGCCAAAGCAGGGGGTGCTCGGGCTGTGGCGCCCAGACCCTCCAGCCGGGTTGACGTGGGAGAGGCGGGGGACGAGGCCGAGGCTGGAGAGATGAAGGGCACTTTTAGGGTGTGCATAACGGGCCCTAGACTTGGGAGAGCCTGTCCGCCGCTGACCACGACACCTGCTCAAGTGCCCACTGAAATGATAGCGGTGCCCCTCACCTCCTCGTCCCCTCCACGCCTTTCCTCAGGCCCCTCCAAATTTGGGTAGCTTTGCACCAACTCGGTGGTGCTGGGACCGCTGGCTGTGGCACCTTCCCACGCCTGGGCACAGCGCATTGGGGGGTGGGGGTGGAGATTTGGCCCGCCCCTGACCCAGCAGAAAGGGGCTTGTGGGCGTGTGCACAAGCCGGAAGCAATCCTTGTAGCTAGGAGGTGGGGCTAAGTGGAAGGGGTGGAGAGTGGGTGGGGCTTCACTAGATTGACACTTGGCAGTCACTCGACACCCTGGAATGTGGGTGGGCGTGGCACGGGTAAAATGGGGGTGGGGCACAAGGGGGAAGGAGATTTAAAGAGTGGTCCAAAAAATCATCCCTCAGGTGGTCCCGAGGCAGCTGCAGCAGAGTGCAGCCATGTCCTTCCTCCTCCCAGAGGCAGGGGACTCATCTGGGGTTTTTTTCCCTCCACCAGTCACACCTGACAGGGTCCCTATTCTACAGGTGTGATGCTAGGCACTCTGGGTACCATAATAAGTGGCAGCGGCCGTATGCAAGTGGCAGCGTCCTGCTCACAGGTGCTCCAGGCTGGGATGACTGGGGCGCACAGCCTTTTCAGCCCAGCTGAAACCAGTTAAGGCACAGACTCAGAACTCTCAGCAGCTGGGGAACGGCCCCGCTAGAAGTGCCACCTGATCTGACTAAATCTCACTGGGAATTTAAGCATCTTCCCCAGCTTGCAGGGAGAGTGGGAGACAGGACAAACATGCACTGAGAGGCAAAGGCGTGTACACTTTGCAGACCGTCACCAGTCCCCACTCCCTGCGCCCCTGCACCCCAGTATGTTTACCTTACTCAGATTAGCAGTTTATATTCTCCCCTCTCCCTTCGTCTTTCAAGCTCTCACCTGAACTTACTTCCTTGGCTGAAAGGATAGGGCATTTGGTGGGGGACAACAGGGCTTTCAGTGGGGGTGACAGCCAGCCTTGAGGGGGACCCAAATTTGTTGGGGGGGTGCCAAATAGGATGCCCCAGAGCCACAGCATTCCATGGGAGGGGGGCAGGTGGGGGACCTCACTGGCTTCATGGGTGGGGAAGGGTGAGGGGTGCTGACGGCCCTGAGTCAGGTCGAGGACACAGGGGCCTTTAGGACACAGTGCTTCACTGCCTGGGGTGCAGCGACCACTCACTCATGCCTGCTTTGGCCCTGCTTTGGGCTCTGTGGCTTGCAGGCTTGATGGCCTGTGCCGTCTCATGGTGCCTGCTGCAAGATGCCCAGATGTCACAAGGAGCTACGGCCAGGTCTCGATCAGGAGACTAGGCAAGGCCTTCCCAAGCTGCAGGTGGGGCTAGGCAGGGTAAAGGGCTGAGCCCAGACCAGACACGAGAGTTGCAGGAAAGGCCCGCTGAAGAGGGTGTCCTCAAATTGAGAAGGTGTGCAGCTAAGGGGCAGATAGGGAGGTAGCCCTTCAAACCCACAGACCAAACTCCTGGGAACACGGAGCTCGCCACTCCCCCAGCAGAAGCTCGAATCTGAGCTCTGCCCTGGTCTGGAATCCATCTGGGGCCGCACAGAAGGGCTCACTCCAACACACAGATATTTTATTCCATCAGAATCTCGGAGCCGGAGTGTTTGAGCAAGGGAAGGGGAGCAGGGGAGCGGGTCAGGGTGTGGCAGACTTATGGGTGACTAAAGCACGGTGCCACTGAGGCAGGACGGGGGGCATTGGGAGGGTGAGAGCTGTGATTCTCAGCACTGCACTCCATTTATTTCTCATGGAGGGGGACATATGGCCTATAGGGGATACAGAGTAGTGAAGGAAACACAAGAGGGATTAATTGAGGGTGCAGGGGTGAGAGACACCTCATGACAAAAACTGCATCACCTCACTGCATCTTAGGCCTGGGAGAGAATCATGGCGTCCTGGGGTTCTGGCCAGGCCCTCACTTAGCAAGAGAGAACTGGAGAACCCCAGGAATCCCCAGCGCCAAGCTGCCGCCACTTGGTTGCTTAAGTGGCCTCATGCTGACACCTGGTGGCCACTTCCAGAATTACAGTGGCACAGCCCAAAGGTCTTACTTGCTGAAATTCGGGGCACCCTGGGAGAGGGCGGGAGGGGGGTCAAGGCGACCCTATTTCCCCCTACAAAGGGAGGTCCCCCTGCAGTGTCAGGGTGCGTGTGGGCTGTGCACCTTTGCACTCGGATCTGAGGCTCTCATCTGCCTCCACCCTGGCATTACCGAGCCAGTAGTGGGTGGCGAAGGGAATTCCTCCTGCTGGGGACTCCCACCTCACGGGGTGTGGCAAGCGGTTGGATGCCCAAAGCCACAAGTTACACCTGGCACTTTCCTGAAGCTTCCGTCTCTTCCTGAGACTTAGAGGGACTGTATTATGTTTGTATCAGAATAAAATCAGATATGACTGAGGGTCTCAGGGGTAGAATGTTGGGATCCCCCATCCTGAGGCAGGCAGGGACCCCAAGACAGCAAAGGTGGGCTGAGTCTTGCTCTGGACGCCACTAGCCCACCGCTAGCCAGCCGAGCTCTTCAAATCTGGCCCGAGCCTGACACTTTGTGGCCACTTGGAGAAGTGCAGCTGTGGCCTCGGAAAGCGCCTGGCTTCCCTATAAATTAACATTGCCTTTAGGATAACAGCTGGGCAACTTTACCAAACCTGAGGTTTGAGAGAAGAGGAGGAGGTAACACAGGACCTTGTCTCAAGAGCCCCACACTATCAGGGACCCTGTGTGTGTGCAGCCAGCAGGCCCGGCAGCACATAGCCGCAGAGGTGGTGAGGCCCTCATGCACATGCGGGGGTCCTGGGAAGCCCCGAGCTGTACAGCTCACAGGGCTGTGCAGTGGACAGAGGGGAGAAATGGGTCTGGGAGCCCTGGAGGCTAGCCCAGTTCACGTGCCGGCTCTGCCGAGGGACCCCTGGGCCTCGGTGCCAGGGGTTCCGTGTGCTGGCGGTCCACGGGAGCCTGAGGACGAGGGGGCTGCCACCAAGGAAGTGCTCTCAGCGTCCGTGGTCACACGCTCCCTGTGGGAAAGCATACGCGCCCCTAACTGTGGGCTCTAGAACGTTCTTTCCTAGGCTGTACGGAAATGCTGCCTAGATGGGTGGCTCAGCCCACCCGCCCATAGCATCCCCTCCATCTCCTGCAGGTCACCTGCCGCCACCGGGAGG